AACCAAAATGACAAAAATGGCATAAAAACACATATTATTCTAATACGGGTCCTTTTTGACCCACTTATGGAAGAGTGTAGGGTCCAGTCACTCGTGCATCTAAGGGTTAACATCCAGTTAGTAAACTCAACCTCAAGCAGACTGTGGTTAGTTCACGGTCACTCTGAGTGGAAGGCATAGTTTTGTATTTTTCCAATGTGGGGTCCTATGAGTTATTTGTTTAAAGTCAATGCATTACGTCCTACAGTAGATGATGGTCAGCACAGAAGCTAACCAACAAACTGCTGTGGATAGGGTCAGCATCCAAACATATCTGGAGACGTCTTAAAAAAATCAATATCAGTTTAAATAAACACTGTATTTAAAACATTTGTGGCTCTTTATCCTGCCCTCAGACTGCCCTTTCTATGCTCCCTTCAAAAGCACCAAAGTCCCTTCACAAAAACAGTCATTTACGCTTGCAGAACGGAGATGTTGGTGTACCGAAGCCTCAATCGGTCAGTTTGTTTGTGTTATTGTGTGGCTTTGGTCAATCCGAACCAATGTCACAAACAAACTGACCTATGGAGGCAGCAGTATACAAAGAACTCTAAACCTAAATGACTGTTTTTATGAGTGGACTTTGGTGGTTTCAAAGGGCAGTCTGAGGGTAAAGCACTAAAGATATTTTAAACAGTGTTCATTTAAACTCAATCAAATGTTTTAAGGCTTCAGTTCCCAAAACAAGGGCTCTCTGCTGGCAAGATTCATATTATAAATATTCTTAATATTGGACACATTTCAACTGAAAGTAACTTTTTGCAGTGGCTCTTATGTTGCTTTGCTTCTGTGCCAAAAAATTACTTTCAGTTGAAATGTGTCCAATATTAAGAATATTTATAATATGAATCTAGCCAGCAGAGAGCCCTTGTTTTGGGANGTTTTAAGGCTTCAGTTCCCAAAACAAGGGCTCTCTGCTGGCTAGATTCATATTATAAATATTCTTAATATTGGACACATTTCAACTGAAAGTAACTGCAGTGGCTCTTATGTTGCTTTGCTTCTGTGCCAAAAAATACCTCATACAACCCCACCTTAAAAATAAGAGCTACGCCTTTAATATTTCTACATCTATTCAGTAAAGCTGCTAGTCTAAGAAAAGACACTTCCCTGGACTCGAGGACTACGTCATATACATTTTTTTTTCCTTCAGTTTTCTCATTGTTTTATGATTAATGACTGCGCTTTGAACAATGGTTAACAATGTGCTGGTTGTCTGTAGGGAGTGGCTCTACCTGCTGTGTCATGAAATGTTGAACCCCTATTACGGCCTGTTCCAGTACTCCACAGACAATATCTACACACTACAGATCAACCCCGACTCCTCCATCAACCCCGTGAGTACACACACACACACACACACACACACACACACACACACACACACACACACACTCTCTCTCTCACATACTCTCTCTCTCACACACATACACTCTCTCTCTCTCTCTCTCTCTCTCTCACACATACACATACACACACACACACACACTATCTCTCTCTCTCTCACACACACTCACTCACTCACTCACTCTCTCTCTCACACACATACACTCTCTCTCTCTCACATACACATACACACACACACACACACACACACACACACACTCTCTCTCTCTCTCTCACACATATACACATACACATACACACACACACACACTATCTCTCTCTCTCACACACATACACACACACACTCACTCACTCACACTCACTCACTCACTCTCTCTCTCACACACATACACTCTCTCTCTCTCTCTCTCTCTCTCTCTCTCACACACACACACACACTCTCTCTCTCTCTCTCTCTCTCTCTCATACACATACACACACACACTCTCTCTCTCTCTCTCACACACACATACACACTCTCTCACACACACACACTCACTCACTCACTCACTCACTCACTCACTCACTCTCTCACATACTCTCTCTCTCACACACATACTCTCTCTCTCTCTCTCTCTCTCTCTCTCTCATACACATACACACACTTACTTTACAGCCGAGCTGAATAGGAAGACCCTCTCTGACCCGTATGCTGCGTCGGTGTCTCTGTCTTTCTTGCTTTTCTTTCAGGACCACCTGTCTTATTTCCACTTTGTTGGCCGGGTGATGGGCCTGGCAGTTTTTCACGGTCACTACATCAACGGGAGCTTCACGCTGCCCTTCTACAAACAGCTGCTAGGAAAACCCATCACGCTCATCGACCTGGAGACCACCGACCCCGAGCTGCACAAGAGTCTCGTCTGGATACTGTGAGCAAACGCCTCTGACCGCAGAGGGAGATTTCTCACATGGCCTGCACTGTCCCCTTTTGGATGTAAATGGATTGTTAACTTGTAATTCTCTTTGTGCAGAGAGAACGACATCACTACGGTCCTCGACCACACCTTCTGCGTGGAGCACAACGCCTTCGGGAAGTTCTCACAACACGAACTCAAACCCAACGGCCGCAATATCCCCGTCACCGAGGACAACAAAAAGGAATACGTCAGGTGAGAACAGACACTGTCTTATACTCAAACCCCCTGGGGAGCTCAGTATTAATATCTTATTAAGACTAATACACCACTGTTTTCATGTAGCGTGTGAAGGTTTAATACATATTTGTATTCATCATTTTGCTTTTATTTATTTTGTAGTTATATTCTTGTTTTGTTTTGTTTTTCCATTTATTTATTCATTCATTCATTCATGTATTTTGTTCTCAAATGAAGCAACTGTCTAGAAACCCAATTTCCCCTGGGACTAAATGAAGTATTCTGATTTGCCGTTGATACAGAAAATATACTGTTTCGTAGTCAGGAAGAGCTGTTGTTTTCAGTTTACCACTGTTTTCTTATTTCTCCTGAACCATGTCTCGTTTGTATTTCAGACTTTACGTGAACTGGCGGTTTATGCGAGGAATCGAAGCCCAGTTTCTGGCTCTGCAGAAGGGATTCAGTGAGCTCATCCCCCAGCACCTCCTCAAACCTTTCGACCACAAAGAACTCGAGGTACATCTGCAATCCAGCTCATCTTACGTGTTTCATTGTAAACTCTTAAACCATCTTTTCTATGCCACCTATCCAGGGGGTCCGCGGGGTCTTAAAAAGTATTACAAGTTGATAAATCAATTTAGGGAAAATGAAGACTATTAAAAAGTATTAAACAGCATTTTCCAAGGTATTACATTTTGTAGCTTGTTTTCAATAAGTGTATATAAATTGTCCAAAGAGGTTGTATTCTACAGTCTGCCTGAATGTAATCATTGCGTAGGTGTGTAGTGTGATTCTGTGTAGTTTATTTATGGCATCCCGTTGGATTTGACGTCATCTGAACAGGACATCGCACGCTCACTGCTTGATAGCACGAAGGTCCGTTTACGCCGATTGTTAAACATCGTTATGGGGAAATGCAAGTCTGCGTCCAAATGGTTGGAAGATAAGGAGGAAGGACAATCAATACTGTATATAGTCAATGTGAGGTGAAGTGTGTCGCCAAGGTAACCGGTTAGAACTCAAAGTGGCGATGAGGTCTTCAAATGTATGGAAAGGGTCTTTAAAACGGTCTTACATTTGACTTCAGGATTCCTGCATACACCCTGCTCTCCTCCTTATTAACCTGAACCTCCCCCTCCTCTCCAGTTGATCATCGGTGGGCTGGGGAAGATCGACCTGGCGGACTGGAAGACCAACACGCGTCTGAAGCACTGCACCAGTGAGAGCAACGTGGTGCGGTGGTTCTGGGAGGCGGTGGAGGCCTTCAGCGAGGAGAGGAGAGGACGCCTCCTGCAGTTCGTCACAGGCTCCACCCGAGTCCCGTTACAGGGGTTCAAAGCGTTGCAGGGTGGGTCACTCACTGGATCACACACATTCATATTTTACCCACATCATATATTATGTTCACTTGATGCTAATTCAATGAATCTGTTCTCCTAATGAACGATTAAACAACCAACATTTACTATCAGTACGATAACTGATTCAAATAGAGTTCTTGATCAAAGGAAATCTCTTTTTACTATGTTTGAGACTTATTATGGTACACTTTAAGGATATTTCACTCTACTAAACAAATCTTAACAATAACATATACACTGGAAAAAAATGCTGCTCCAAAAATAAGTAAATAATATATAATAAAAACAAGGTGTTTTCTCTTTTAATAAGTGAACTAATCTGCCAATAGAACAAGTACAAAATGTCTTGGTAAGATTTGTTGAAGTAAAGATGGGATAATTAGATGAATCAGATTTAGCTGGGAAAACTTATTTTGAACTATATTTGACCAGAATTAGGGAATTTGTAACACAAATAGCCAGAAACGCTTTCTGTTTTCTGATGTTAGTTGGAGATGTTCCTCTAAAATAAGATGTTTTTAAGAGACTTTGACTTAAAAAGATGCTTCAGATGCCTTGTCTAAAAACAAGACTTCAGTTATTAAGTCTTATATCAAGTGTAACGACATATTCTGACTAGAAATTAGACAAATATACTTGGCAAGATTTTAGGTTTTTGCAGTGTAGTACGTAGAGATGTGCACACATACTTACAGACTTCTTAAAGTACTTAAAGTCAATTCATTTGACAATTATTTTCTAGATAAACCAGTTCAAAAAACTAAACACATTGTATACGTCACTCCCCTCCCAAGGCTGCCTATGGTCCTGGAAAATGTTTTCTATGGGGTGGCGTTAAGGAGAGCGGTGCGTCTCGTAAATGAAAGCATATAAAACAGTTTTTGGACATTTTATAACTTTTTTGCTGACTTTAATTTGGTCGGTTAGAACTGTCCTTTTTCTTATGTTCTGCTCTCTTTAAAGCCATTAGATAGAAAACTATAAAGAGGCAAGTGAGGTTAATTTTATATACATTTATTTAGTTTTTGGGTTAACTGCATCATGTATAACTAAAATACATTTGGTTTACTAGCATGCAGATGTTTCATGTTTCAGATTACTTTTCATATAAAAACACTCACTAAAGCATTATTAAAATAGTAACCTATTAATTCACATGTTTAGAGACTCGTGATTTGATCAACTAAGCTGTAGATTCAATTAAACCTAATCCAGATTCATTTCCAACAACTAATGAATTGATTATATCTTTGTGATTTGATGGGATCCTGTGTAAAGACTGTTGAGTGGTCAGTGCCTCGGAGTAGAGCAGTGATAACTAGAATGTATATGTGTAAGGTTCTACAGGTTCTGCAGGACCAAGGCTCTTCACCATCCACTTGATAGACGCCAACACAGACAACTTGCCCAAGGCTCACACGTGGTAAGGACCATGAAACAAAAAGATTTTCCATTGGCTTCTGGAATATTTCAACATTTATGATACTTCTACGTTTCCTTCAGCAGGATAATCTCCACATATTATCACCACTTTATGATTTAAAAAAAAATGCAATCTCCAGTGTAAAAAGCTAACGTTAGGCTCTAAAGCAGTGGTGTCAAACTCAAGGCCCGAGGGCCAAATCCGGCCCACCACTTCATTGTATGTGGCCCACAAGAGCTTGCAAAGAATATAATAAGTTTATTACATTGTTACGTGCTGCTTTACAGGAGAACGTTGCCCATAAACTACATGTCCCACAATGCATCTCGTTTTGTGACATGCGCAATGAACAGACTTGCAATTATTTTCCCTAGACTTCTGCTTTCAGACATAGTTAATTATGAAGTTATTACCCTATCCGATAATAATCCAATGCAGAGGAAATATTGTAAAATAAATAATACATTATTTTATATTAATTATGAATATTTATCTATGTATAGTCTTAAAGTTACCACCGGCCCTTTGAGTGCAACCATAATTCTAATGTGGCCCGTGATGAAATTGAGTTTGACACCCCTGTAAAAGGAACTACATCACGGTCACATGACTTCACGTCACCAATAAGGTGGCTAATGTTCAGCGTGATGACCTTTTTAGTAGTCTCTTTTAGTCACCTGTTAGCAACCGCTGTTTAAATTAAATAAAACAACTGTTTTAATCGGCCAGTGGAATATTTACTGACATATTTTACATCGTAGAACAAAATGGGAACAATCCATTAAGTTTGTGTTAACAACCAATCTTATTTCACGCCTCTAAGCAAAAACACGTTCAAAAAACCATTGACTTCTAAACAAGGGACGCTAACTTTCTAAAATGCTAACTCATTTCTGGTTTTAGGACTCACCCTGCACCACTCTATAGACCAGAATAATATAAACAAATATGACTGATATAGTAGATTTAACCAGTTGGGACAGTTTTTTAAATGAAAATACGACTTCAATGACTATGTATGTGCCGAAGAGTCACTAATTGTTCTTTCCTGTCTCCAGTTTTAACCGGATAGACGTCCCTCCCTACGAGTCCTACGAGAAGCTCTATGAGAAACTGCTGACGGCTGTGGAGGAGACATGCGGCTTCGCTGTGGAGTGACGAGTCCAAAATCAACCCGACACACACAGACACACTTGCGCTTGCACTTGCACACAAAACGATTTGACTTTTTACATCATATACACACACATCAACAAAATATCAAAGTATACACGGAGTATACGGAGCAGCCAAGCATCACAAGAAACAGACTTTGGGTCTCTCGCCACCTCCTAACCACCAAACTGTTGGGGGGG